CCGCCGCCATACCCCCCAACATCTCCCATCCGACCACGCCTCCCTCCGCAGCGCTCGCCTCCTCAACCTCAACCACTTTCTTGAGCAGATCGTACACCACGCCCTCGCCCACCCGACTGTCATGTTCGTACTCGGGATGCTTCCTCACAAACTCGCGGATCCACTTCGCCGCCGTCCAGAGCGTGCCATCTGCCCTCTTACGGATGAAGTCGAGGTAGCGCGCTAGCTGGCAGCGGGTCTGGATGCTCAGATCTAGGCTGTTCAGGTAGGAATCGAGGAGGGGGAGTAGGCCGGGAAATCCACATCCTGCTGCTGCTGTTGCTGCTGCTGAGGAGGGAGCATCAAGGGGGTTTGCCTTGTTTGTTAAGGGAGTAACCGGGTTGGGGGAGCCGTTGAAGATTTCCGAGATGGTCATGAGTCTGTATTCGTCTTCGACGGGGCCGGGGGGTGGGGGGAAGGGGCGCGGCTAAGGGTGTGGTTTGGGGTTGATGTGTCGGATGCGTTGTTCATCGAGGTTGTTGACGAGGAAGAGTGAAGACCGGTGGAATTGCCATTGAGGCGGCTGGCGTGGCTGCTGCGATGATGCGGTAACGGGTCTTTGCGGAACCAGAATTTGGCTTGCGTGACCGCATCGCGAAGGTGTGCTGTCTCCATGTTTTCTGTCGTGCGGGCGATGGGGATGTAAAAGTTGAGGTCGTACGAAAGGATGGCGCGGGTGATGAGGACGATGAAGATGCTGAATGCCGCGTTTTCGAAATCCGTGATTTGGATCTCCATGCTGCGGAACTCGACGCGCCAACCGATGTCGGCATCTGGGGGAGGTGGTTTAAACCGCATGTGTTGCCAGTTGGTGGATTGGAGGTTTTCGAAGTGGTTGGCACCTTCTGGGTCGAGCTCTTTGAGGTCTTCGGCGAAAATGACGAGTGGATCCCGGATGAAGAGGTGAGCAAAATGGGTTGCCAGAAGATCGTCCATTCCCCCGTCCAGCAGCTTCTGTTTCAGTCGTTCGTCCACAATCAAGTCTGGATCCATATACTCGGGTCGTAATCTCGGATCCTGCGAGATGTAAGTGCTGTTGGATGCATATCGAGATTTCGGTATGCGCCATCGGTCGTCTTTGAGAGGCTTCTCTCCTAGCTCCTCGGGTGTTCGATCGTCAACAGCTCGACTGATTTGATTCCATCGCACGTCGGTATCCACCAGGAATCCTTTGTAGATTGGTGTAGCTGCGGTCAATGCAAGCATGATCGGTCCCAGTGGGCTGAGTTGATCGTACAGCTTTCGTCCTTCGATGATGTTTTTGGCTTGGAAAGTGATCTGAAGACAGCAGCTGCCCATGCCGAACGCCATAGCATCCATATAAACATGACCATCTTTAGCAGCGCCATTACGGACGTCATCATCTTCAGGCCATCTATGCAGGTCATAATCCACGGTGGGATCCTTGAATGGCGATGGAGTCTTCTCATCCTTGAACACAGGCACATTGAGTTCCACCTTTCTACCTCTTCGACTACGAATGTTGGCCGCTAGAGTAGGAAACCGAATGTGTGGATTGGCAATTTCGTCTGGCACGAATTGGGAACGCAACATGGGTCCGGAAGGTGGGAAATATGGCTTGATATAGTCGTCTTTTGTGCCCAATCGAGGAAACGTCGTCAAGGTGATGGGATACTCATTCTCAGCCATATGGTCCTTGGCAATTCTCCTCCTCCATTTCATGTTTGGCTCAACATCTAGAAGATCTTTAGGGTTGATACTCCAAGGTTTTCCCGGCGTTGCCTCGAGCATAAAACGGCCAAACTCTGGATGGAAGGTGGGTAAGGTCTGGCCGAGTCTGCAGCACCGTCAGCACAGAATCCAGCCATCACCCAGGACTGTACAGACTTTGATGACTTCTGTAACTCAAACACACAACCACCACTCTTGCTCAGCGCCTCATCCTTGGCGAGAGCTTTCAGGATCTCTGCCTGACAGAGCGACAGTCTGACTCTTCTCCTATCATGCTCGAAAGCAACAACAAGATACTCGATCTGGGATGGTCAGAATCGGGCTTGAGACCTGCTTACTGAGAACGAACCTCGTCTCCCCACAAAAGCGCATCTCTCTCCTTACCCTTCGCATTCCGCCAAATGGTCAATAGTTGCTGCTCTAGTGTCAGGGGTGCATTGCATGAGACTGGACCCTTTTGTTACCTCGATCCCCCAGTCTCTTACATGATTGGCAGCCTTTCGGGCCTCTGACCACTCCAAAGGCGTTCCCAGTGCACTTTATTCCGTCAGGCAATCTTCAAGCGGAAGACAAGAAAAGCATACAGAAGCCCCATGGCGTGTTATGGATGGTTCAAGCGCTGCAAGAGAACGGAGTGAATGATCTGCTCGAGTCGAGGAGGGAGATCTTAGAGCCACAGGTGATGAAAGCCTCTATTATGCCTTATTAGTAAAGCTCATGATCGTCAAAACCAATTCGATGATAAATACTTCGTTGTGTAAATACCTAAGTTAGATATGATGTCGGCTTCACGTGCAACGCCTCGGCAGTATAACCAGAGCCATGTGGAGGAGAACCGAGGAGAAATGAAAGAATCGTTTCGAGACCTTCTGGATGACTGGAGCTGTATTAGAGAAGCCTAGTATAGACAGTAACAGTTCCAAGGCTGTCCCCATATACGCAGGGCACGGCGACCGTACTGACAACAGTATGACTTGGATTAATAATCCGATGTGTTTTTGGTTGTCTCTAGCGGATCCTTTCTCGGCCCTTTTGCCGCAAATAGCCGAGAGAAGAATGGGTGTGGGCTATATAGCTACGGACATGAAAGTAAACCTGGATGAGATAATCGGCAATGTGAACTTGCGCGAGTCTGTGTAAGGAGTGGATCATGGCTGGGTCACAGCAATGTCTACCGTCCGGTTGCCAGTTATGTAATGCAGCCGCTGATAGGTAGCACTCGTCCCCCAGACCATGAGTCTTCCACCTTGACATTACTTGTAATAATACATCAGCCCGCCTACCCGCGTGCAGGCATATCTACCCTTCTGTGTACCGGCTGCGGTACCAGGAGGCTGCGGTACCAGGAAGGCGGAAGAGGCCCACTGAAGGAAGTCCACGAAGGTGCGGTGGGTGATGAGCGTTGGAATTGAAATATCACCAAAAGTTTGTCCCCTGTGAAGCAGACTTTGGGGTCCGCAAGTATGTACAATGGTCTCAGTACTGCTGCAAGCAGTGTGTGTGGCGTTCTAATTGCTCCTTGCCCCTCCTTTAGACGCTCGGATCTCATCCATTTTGGCAACTCTTTTCTTAAATTCCTCGTATTGGCATTTCTCGTAGCTATGTCGCTCGTTCTGAAAGGCCTGGATCAGCTTCATGAATGGTCCCGACATGGTTCACCTCGGAGACACACCTCGCATTTCCATGGAAGATAGTATTCGTTGTATCGGCACTTATTGAGAGGTATAAGGAGGTGTGCACAACTATCTCGGTATGCGAGTGGCAATCTGGCATCAGCCATTGCTTGTCGTGAAGCACCAGCTGGCGTAGTAGATCAGCACAATCACTTGTGAGGTGTTCTGGGTTCAGGAATATATAGAAAGGCTTACCGCCCTCATTCTGGCCAACAGCTTCTTTGATTGCCTCCATGGTCCTCTACTGTATGCCTGCAGAAGCCCCAACGACGTCGTCGATAGGAGATACGCGCACCGGCGACTGGAGCTCTGGGAAAGTGAGCAAGATCATTCGTCCTGCCGGTCCCATAATGGAAGATCCCGTGACACTAGTCCGATTGAGGTAAGCCCCACTTTACGCGGTTCTTCATCTGTGCCTCGCGTCCCACTTCAGCATCAGTGCAATTCAAACTCGTGTCAAATTCCGTGTGAGGTCAGAGTAAGGCTTATACCCGCCGGGTTCTGACCGTCGTTGCCGCCTTACGGATCACGGGCTTCGATATACTGGGTCTTCAATTCTAAACCTTTGTGCAGCGGCCTCAGCCGACCAGTACGCGTCCTTTCCCGGCGCCAGCCCACCTCAACTGCGACACTGCAAGGTGCCTCGAAGGCTTGCAACTCGCGTGCCATGGCATTCCAGGGAGAAGGTGAGCTGTACTCAGCTACCTACAGTAATGTATGAACCTCCGACCGGTGTCACAGTTATCTCTCAGCTAATTCTCCTCTCAAGGTGCCGGTGTACGAACTCTTGATTTCAGGAGATCATGTCATGAGACGTAGATCAGATGACTGGATCAACGCGACGCACATCTTGAAGCTTGCGGGGTACGATAAGCCGGCGCGCACTCGCATCCTCGAACGCGAAGTGCAGAAAGGCGTGCATGAGAAAATTCAGGGAGGGTACGGCAAATATCAAGGTGAATTGGAAGTCCATCCACCATTGCGAATGTTATCTAACAACATGTCAGGTACCTGGGTACCACTCCAAGAGGGTCGCGCTCTAGCCGAGAAAAACCAAATCATGCATCGGCTGGCTAAGATTTTCGATTATGTGCCTGGTGAACGGAGCCCCCCTCCAGCTCCCAAACACGCGACTGCGGCTTCAAGCAAACCCAAAGCACCCAAGGCGTCGCAACCTCGCAAACCCGCGTCCCAGGGTATGAGTGTCCCAAAAGTTCCAAAGCGACAGCCAGCTCAACACGCTGCAGGTTACTATCGACCAGCCCACGAGCAGTACGACAATATTAGTGCTCAGCTGCATGACGACGAAACGCCGGATGACGTGACCCCCGAGTCTGCCTCTTTTCTCGGCGATGACGATATGCTGCCGGTGTCACAAAACTCAGCTGCATCTCGAAAGCGGAAACGTGGAACAGACCGTATGGGATATTCTGCCGCTGATTTGGACCACATCAATTACGGCGACGAACTTCTCGACTACTTTGTGACGTCCGCAGAAGATCCAAACGGTGCACAAATGTATCCACCAATCGCACCGGCTTCATTTCCAATCGACAAGGCTATTGACAACCAGGGGAACAATTCTCTCCACTGGGCGTGTGCAATGGGCGACGTTCAGCTTGCACGTGATCTCATTAGTCGTGGTGCCAACAACGCAATGCAAAATGAATTGTCTGGAGAAACACCGCTGATCCGGGCGGTGCTGTTTACCAACAACTATGACAAGCAGACCTTCCCAAAGATTGTGAATCTCCTGTCTTCGGCAATTCTTGAGCGTGACTGGCATGGAGCGAACGTCTTTCATCACATTGCAGAAACAGCTCGATCCAAGAATAGATGGAACTGTGCCCGATACTACTGTGAGGTTCTGGTGAACAAGTTACTCGAATCAGGCCCAAACTACATGCAAGCTGCTTTGACCGCGTCAGACCAGAACCAAGACACGCCTGTGAATTGTGCCATCCGCAACGGTTGTATCAAAGTCGCATCGTTCCTTCTCAATCATTGCCCCGAAGCTGGAGACATTCCTAACCTGCAAGGACAGACAGCAAACGACCTACTTCGCAACATGTCACAGAACCAGAAAAGTCTTCAGCAAGCGCCTTCCTCACCTGTGAAAGCAGGAGACTCGTTCAGTCGACGACGCTCAAAGGGGTCAAACAAGGCGATGGTCTCCCGAGCTGCGACCAACGTCCTGGCAAACATTCGTCCAATGATTGTGCAAGCAAGTAGTCAGTTGGCCGACATGTACGAAGCGGAGGTGAAAGAAAAGGACATGAGCATTGATGAAGTCAACCAGGCACTGTTAGATATTGAGGCACAAAAGCGCACCATTCATCAACAAACAACCGCGTTGAAGGACAGGTGTGAAGATGACTCTAAACTCAACTCCTTGCGTGGACAGTATGAAACCCTTCTCCGTGAGAACGAGTCACTGCTCGAGCAAAAGGAACACAGCACGCTGCAGAGTGAAGTTCGATCACATGATCAGCAAGCCCCATCACAGGCGTTCCGAAGCGCTAATCCGCGACCTTTGACCCAGGAGGACATCCGAGCAGCTTTACCATGGGCTAAGGAGCTCAACCGACAGCAAATAAGGCGAAAAGACAATGTTCGCAACATTGCTCGATTGATGAGTGATGCCGGAACTAGCGAGAGGATCGGCAAGCACCGGAGACTTGTCGCTATAGCTACAGGGTTGAAAGAAGAAGAGCTGGACGCGATGTCAGTCGAATTGTTAGAGTCGCTGGAGGCAACACAGGGGAATGTGGTCGAGGGTCCGAGGACACCACCAAGAATCGGCATGGTGATGGGATGAAAGGGAAGTGGTCATCTACTGCCATCTATTATGTGCATTTCTGTATGGGCAGATTTGCATCCTGTCTTTTCCGCGAGCTTGCTATACTGTCATTACCAAAACACATTAATCGATGTACGGACCGGGAAGAAAAGCGATCTGTTTTCGAAGCCGTGTCTGTTCAGAGCTATGTCTGCCCTAGTAGACTCTGCTATCAGCTTCACCGATATGTATGGATGGAGAACAGCAGGTCAGTCATAGAGGGTTGGGATACCAAAAAAGAGGATGGGGACATCAAAAATAGAGGATGGAGACATCAAAATAGAGGATGAGACACCCAAAAAATAAGACAGGGACAAAATACATAAAAATTCCAAAAAGTTCTAGTCTCCTGCTATGCTCCGAAGCATCATCTCAAGTATCAGCCCCGGAAATGCCATAAAGCCCGAGGGTGCATAGGTTCCGAGGCGGGCTTGACACCGGATTGCGTGATACCCCATGAAGCATACAGCCGCGCGTGAAAGGAGACTGCAGATGGACTTTTGAGACTTTTTTGTCGGCGTCTTTCATATGCCAAAGGCTCGCTCCACAACGGGGACAACTATAGGCTAGCAAAGAATAGCCGCCCGCCGCGGGATCTTGATCGACCAAGGAACCTGCCAAGCCCCCCCTGAACGTGCGATGGGTTGGCTGTCAGAGCTGCCACGTGTTGTGACCACCACGGGCAAGGGCCGTTCTCGACCTAAGCGGCAAGGAACCAACACCAATAATCATTCTCCAGAAGTTCGCGAGCAGGAGTTGCGTCACAAGTAAGGTAATGCTCATCGCTTTCCTTGTTTGTCTGCTGTCCTACGCCAATTGAATGCTGCTTTCTCCTCCATATCCAAAACGTATGTCTTCCTAGCAGACAAAGAGAATGAGAACAGGCTGCTCCACCATCTGAACAAGAGTAGCTTTGATGCCTAGCGAAAAGAGTTACGGAGTATCACAAAGAGGATTCGGCGGGCTGTAAGCACAGGCTTTGGAACTCGTAGTTGGCTTAGCCAGGTAGAAAGAATCCAGCGGACACGGACTAAGTATGGAGAAGGATGGTCGCGGCCATTCACCGCGATGTGGGGGGCGAAAATGATCAACTGGCGGTGGATTGATCTGAAGAGACTAAGGTTAGCCTGTTCTAAAAGGAGCGATTACTGGCTGTCATGGCCGCGGAAAAAGCGACCATTGGCCTGCTAAGCCCTGATGAGATCTCTTTTAACCAGGCTCAGTGGCAACTCTTCCAGCCCGGTTCGACTAAGGCGGAACTATTAGTGCCACGGGCCCATTGGCCATTGATTCAACCTTCCACAGACCCCTCTGCGATGTCCCTGCTTGCCTCTAACTCGTCTTCGTTAGGTTGCGACATTAGCCAGACTCCAGCGCCCGGACTACTATCCTTCTTCCCATCCACTCCTTCATCTCCTGTCTCTTTACCTTTCCCTCCCCCATACTCCATACTATCTCGGCTATAAGCGTTCGCCCTCCTTCCATAATTCAACTGAGCCTTTTTCTTTCTCACCCACCTCTACTCTCCTTGTTCGTTGTTATTGTACGCTGTGCTCAGCAACCTAGCACCAGCAAACGCAATTGGTCGTCCAATCCAATTCCGGGCATCAAGTGGGCCGTTGTGAAACCTCTGTACCTGCAGCTGCCACAATCATCCACCATCACCCCTTACTTTGCTTGCTCAACAACCACCTCTCCTTCCCGTCGCTTCATTATAGGGATTGCCGTGCAATCTTTACCACCGATCTGATCAGTGCCTTTTGTTTTCGTCGACTGTCACTCCGCCAATCCTTCCAATAATTGCCTTCAGATATACCTTCTTTATAATCGCGTCTTCAGCTGCCACTCGACTAAAACCGCGGTCGAACACTTGCCAACTTCCATTTTTCTGTTTGTAAGTGAAATGTTCTTACCTTCACCAAGCAGCATTAGTTCACTAACAAACGTTCAGGCACCAACTGTATTTTTGCCTCCTACGCTTTATCAAAAACTTGACCACACCTGACCATAGCCGAGCCTGTCCTCAATTTCATAATTCCACAATAAGCGGCATAGAACATCAGACATACTCTGGGTTGGAGCAAGGTCAACAATACAAAAGTCATTGCAGAGAATATTGAATAAGAATACGCTAATACCCATCCGATCCCATCGAGCGCAACTTACAGCACACGGACCTAATCTCCTCCTCCGCCTTCGTCAATCTTACACTTTCCGGAAACGTCAGCCAACATGAGCATGGACGCTGGCGGTCTTGCTCAAATGACATACCAATCAAATCCGTTCGACAGCACTCGTCACCTTGGAGCTCCTGGTTCTGGCTTCGCATCACGTGGAAAGGCCTCCCATATCAAGCGCCTCAGCGTTGCCTTACCTCCCAAGATCTCCACCATTGATGAAACGCAGCAAATAAATGTTGGGTCTACCCCAAGAACCAGCCGTGGACATCTCCTCGCTGGACTGCGAACCGCCCCCAAATCTGCCACTGTCCCATCGATCAATACACAGCTTGGGCTAGATAGCAGCAAATATGCGGATCCCAACCACGCGGCCCGTGTACCGCAGACTGCTACTGGTGCTTACTTTCCTGGTCATACCCTCGGTATGAGTTTGAACAGTGGCCGTCAAATGTACTCTCTGCCTGAGCACGTTCTCGCACCTCCCACCATCGAAATCAAAGGTGAAGGCGGACAGATGGATCAGAACTATTATGATGAGCTGGTCGCCACCAACACCTATCTAGCGCAAAGACAACGAGTGTTGCAACAGCAGCTGATGGATGTCCAGGCAGCAGCGCAGCAACTTGGTGGCATGAACCTGAACAGCAACTCTGCTGGCAGCCAACAATATCAGTCTACTTCAAACATGAATCTGTACAATCAGCAGCTCCAGCAAGGGATGCAACCCATAATCCAAGCAGTGCCAAATACTCCCGGCTTATACCAAGTCTACAATCCCATGACAGGCCAGACAAATTTGGTTGTCGACAATTCTGCTCAAGTTCAGACTCCATTCCGGGACATTCCTGAGGCTGTGCAGTCACCAGTACCGCAAACTCCCAGCTTTCAACGCCGGATGTCCCCTCCGACCGAACAGGCAAGTCGCGGTCGATCTCCGCCAAAAACGACTCCAAGTCCGCCTCAAGATGTGGAGCCACTTCCTCCACCATCTGCTAATGCTTTCCGACGTGGTCACAAGAAGAGCACTTCGTCATTCAGCACCATTCGCACGGATGGGCTTGCGGAAGCTGCTGGACCAAAATCCGCAGGTATCCCCCAGACGCCCCTCACTGGCACCTTCACGCCTGGCCATGGACAAGCTGGTGTGAGGCCGATCCGCCAGCCACGGAATCCCATCAACGTCAACGAGCTGATGGAGGCTCCGACTTCCAAGCATCCGGGCAGCAAGAACTTTGTGACCCGCCAACGACGTCGAGCAGTTCAAGATTTGGTCAAAGCTGGACGGGAACGGCGAACAGATGCTCGTCAAAGTAGTTCTGGAAGTGGCACTCCTGGCAGCGAAGTCGATTTCAGTTTCTCTGTTTCTTCCTCCGACAACGACGACATTGGTACTTCATCCAGTGGCAACTTATCCAAGAAGACCAGCCTCGGCAGTCTTCGTGCCGCAGCTGTTGGAGCCATCGGATCGGAGAGGAAGGAGAAATCCAGAGAGAGGAGCTCGGTAGACAGTGTTGGCACTTACAGTGTCAAGAGCTTGAGCAGCGATGAAGACGTTTCGGTTGGTGGAAAGATGGTCGAGGTTGAACCTGCCAGACGCAAGACTCCCATGTTGGTTCTTAGCAGTGCTGAGAAACGTAAGAGCGCCATCTCGATGATGGCTTGATTTGGGAAACATGGTTGAATGGGCCGGTGGGAATTAGCCATCTCAAGTGTTGGAGACGAAAATCATTTATGTGACCTGAGGGGCGTTGAAGGGATGATGCTACTATCATTGACTTGTTCTGCGGCCGTGCCCTGGAGCAATATTCATGGTGACGGTGACCATGGTGACGCCTGTCTAAAACTATTACCAAACTTACGACTTATTTTTTCATGACCAGAGTTGCACAGATTTGTTTTTCCTTCTTGCTTCTTGCCAAGAGCTCTTACAGAAAATATCCGAGAAGTCAACAATACCAGTGCTTTAATCCTATGCTGCTCCCATTCCACCATGTTGATAAGATCCTGCCGTTCACTCTTGTAGCGAGGTCTAGTTTTCTCTCTTTCGCTTTGACATGCTTAGTGTATGTGCTTGCTTCGCTGGTTGAAGAAGACCTGCATGACAAATCTCCTATGAACAAACGACAGCTTCGAGATGGAACGCAGACTGGAGGTGGGTTCAGGTGACCGTATCCTCCTTTTGCTCGAGGCGCTCTCGTCTGTATACGTAGTACGTATATCTACGGGGTACGTCAAACCAGATAGATTCCAGTTTTGATACCGGTTAGTTATGCACTCTTTCTTTTGCGCGCCCTTACAAGCAAGTCTCTGGCACGTGTAATTTTTTCGGTTCCAAAAAGAAAAAAGACAACTGGAGGAGCATCTGTCTCATTTACATGTGATAGATATCTCCATTTCTTTTTTTCCAATTCTTTGAGGGCGCGCCCGGCATTGAGGCCTGGTCTTGCCTTGGTCAACGTGCATCAATAGTGGTAGGGTAGCGGAACCTGACACGGTACTACCGCTACTTTTCGATGCATGAGAAGTTCTGGGATGGCTTTTGCGCCTGATTGTGAAGACTGTTGGTGTTGTTGATATCCTCTCAGCTTCTCTTTACTCTAGAGCAATGGAACTACTCGACAATGCAGTAGCACGAGGGAGGTGTAAGGTCAAGGCCAGATCTTGGTGAAGGTCTTTCTGATGAATTCCAGAACAAATACAAGTACAGGGAAGTAACTGGCTAGTGATATCAATCTAGTCGGGCAAGGGATTCGATTGGGTTGAAGACCGGTAGCTAAAGCTAACGCTGTGGGAACCTAACGCTCCAACATGACGATCCGGACGCATTGCAGACGAGCAACATAGCTTCGGAAAGGACTGGAAGCAAGTTCGAGGCCTTCCTTCGAGAAACCGCAACGCCACCTTCTAAAGGTTTTCCTTGACCCTGGCCAGATTAAGCACGCTTCCCGTCATCTTTTGATCCCAATGGTCACAAAACTCTGAACCCTTGCGCAGAACTCACCATTCTTATCCAGGTTTCTCCTCCATACTTTGCGCCAACGCTGTCTCAGAAGCTTTTTATCATAGCGAGTCTGTAAGTCAACATCGGCTCTGTATTCTTCTTCAAAGATTCTGTCTCCCTCCTTCTCCTCATAGAAGGTCTCCACGTAATTGCGCGTACGCAATGACTTTTCAATCTCCAAACCGGCGGAAACGAAGAGCCGCTCTAGACAGTGTATGTCTGTGGTCCATGTGCCCTTATGTTTGGGAGGAAGACCCAGGGCCGGGTATAGATCAGCCTCCCACACATAACCCGGACTGCTGTCTTCTTCAGACGGATTATCGAGAATCAGCCGGCCGCCCGGTTTCAAAAGTCGAGCCCAGTTTTTGATCGCGACATGAGGTGCCGGAAGTGCAGTCAGGCAAGTGACGCCGGTGATGAGGTCAAAAGCACCACGTTGTGTCATTATACGCTGCAGCCATGCAGCATCGTGGAGGTTGCTGATGTCATCTCGAACGAACATGATATTCTTGAATCTTTGCCCGCCAGAAGCAGACTTTTTCTCTTTGGCCTGTTGAAGCATTCGCCTGCTGATGTCAACTCCTATCACGAGGCCATCTGGGCCGACTTTGTCTGCAGCAAGAAACGTGAAAATGCCGGTACCACAGCCAAGGTCTAAAACTTTAGCCCCTTTCTGAGGTGCACTCCAAGCAATGAAGTCCTCGGCTATGGTGAAGTGATAACGGCAGTCGTCGTATGTGGGTGCTATGTAGTCAAAGATTGCCTCCGCCCAGGCAACTTGCGGACTTAGTTGAAGCTCGTCACTTTTTGTCTGACTCCCTTGCGACGGGGAATCTTTAGAGGGAGCACCTGTTGTAGCTTTAGACGGGCTAGCAGCTTTTGACGGGCTGCCTCTTGCATCTGTTGATGGACCAGCAGCTTCAGAGGTACGAGCAGCCTTAGAGGGACCGGCACCTTTCGATGAACTATCATCCTCTGGTTGGACGCCTTTTGTATCCTTGGACGGACCAGCAGCTTTCGACGGGCTGCCCTTTACACCTTTGGTTGGACCAGCACCTGTCGATGGGCTATCATCTTTTGATTGGGCGCCTTTTGTATTTTCTGATGGGCCAGCCGCTTTTGGCGGGCTGTCTTTTGCATCTCTTGATGAACCAGCCGCTTCTGAGGGACCAGCACCTTTCGACGGGCTCTCGTCTTTTGATGGAACGTCTCTTCCCACTTTCGACGCGCCACGACCTGACCACATGTCTCTTTGATAGTGCAGACCAAGGAAAAGGAGGGAACAAGAGCTGGGTTTGTTATTTTGAGAATCCACTAGAGATGTATAAGAGTATAGTTTGCAGTTGTTCTATAAAGAAATGGTGTCTGCTCATTGTTTCAGAGACTCAAGACCTACTATCGGTCTTAGAATCTCGTTCGGCAGCTGTGTGACGATAGAGGTTTCGGTACGGAGTACAGGCCTCGAGAAAGGCTGGGGAGACAATTGAAAACCGGCTTCAAATGCGATGGAAAGCTTCTGTCTCCTTTTCGATGCATCCGTGTTCGAACCCTCATATTACGACCTGCCAAAATCACTCTGGTGCATCACTTCGCGTGGCCTACAGCTTCGCGTCCTGGAGAAAGGCCCTGGTTGCGTCTTCTAGAGAGGTCTTCTAGCGGTTACAAGACATCAAGTTCAGCGATCGGCGGCCTAGCAGGCCGATACATTTTACTTAGGCACACTGTTTGGCGTCAGTTTCGAGAATTCATGGCGTCAAACCAACTAGTAAGTAAGTAGCCTACTCAAAGAGACCTTTGCATGTGTGGGCCACCAAAGTCAGGTATTCTGGCAACGTTGACAGCTCCCTTCTCTGGTCACGCACTGTTTACCAACCGCGATGGCTTGCATCACGCTTTGTCCAACGAGATATCACGATACGGCCCATGACAGCATATTCAGATGCTGGCTAAACACTCCTGTGGAAAGCTCCGCCGGAACTGTCGTTTCTATCCTACACCTTATCCGCATAGTCTCAGGATGCGGCCAACTACCTTTCCACTATGTTCTTGATTGGCATGGCAGGGGTGTTTGAAACAATCTTGTTTCCTGATTTCTCATTTTCACCCAAAAGAGATCTACATAGGCTGGGTTACTGACTCCCAGGGATGCCAACAGGGCGGTCGGTTGTGTCTTGCAGCTGTATCTACATACATATGCATGAACACCAGACCCCTGTACGCGGCCCGGGGCAAAATCTCAGGCTTCCTATGCAGAGCAAGATTGCCCAATGGCCTTTAACAATCCAGTTTTGTGTGCATGGTGATGTCTTGCTGTTTGTCTCACTGTTATTTTCAATGATGTGATTCGGCGCCACAAACTGCGGCTCTCTGGCTTGCGCTCTTTGGCTTGCAGTTCCTTGGAATGCCAATGAAATATAAATCAATTAAGAGCTGCACCTGGGAAGAATCGGAGGGAAGGGAGCAGGGGAAATGTAGAAAGCAGAAAGCAGCACAGGACATTTGACAGGCCAAGATGTCGTTCGAACCCTACCAACGATCTTATGGCAATGACAATGCCACAGATTCCTCGTATAGCCATGAGGGGCAGCCTTCCCAAGAGAAACCTGATGAGACTGTGCAACAGGCTGCTTCAAAGCTGAAGATCGGGGAAGGGAGAGAAGTTGAATGAGATGCAGTGCGTGAAATGTCGAATGATTCAGCTCTGACTTTACAGCTTGCAGCTCCGAGGACGTCGTCATCGCGGTCATGGGTGTGACGGGAACGGGCAAAAGTACATTTATTGAATGATTGACCGGCTTGGGCGTCGAGATAGGCCATAGCTTACAATCCTATAGGACGCCCATGTTTGGTCAAAGCCAGTGAATACTAATTGACACTGACCGCCACCAGGTACCTTCCAGATCGGAATCCGTCCAATGCAATATCGTGATGGGCCCACCATCTACCTCATCGACACGCCGGGCTTCGACGATACCCGTCGCACCGACGCTTAGGTACTCAGCGAAGTGTCCTACTTTCGCGGAGCTACCTACCCCAAAGACGTCAAGCTGGCGGAATCATCTATCTACACAGCATCAAGGAGAACCAGATAAAGAGCTCTGTCATGAAGAACTTAGCCACGTTGCAAGCCATGTGCGGAATGACAAGCTCGGCTAACGCCATCCTCGCCACCACCATGTGGGACGCGCTCAAGGACCCCCACAGCCGACAGGTTGGCATAAACCACGGGAACGAGCTCCGCACCACCCCTAACTACTGGGCAAACATGGTCACGGGCGGCAGCACCATGTTCCGGCACCAAAAAATCCACGAGTCGTCCATGAACATGATCGATCGTGTTATGAACTACGACACCAGCATCGTGCTCGACCTCCAGCGGCAGGTGGTCGACCAGAAATTGACACTCGACACGACCTCCGCGGGGTAGGAGCTGAAGCGCGAGCTGCTGTAGCAGCGTAAGCGCCATGAGGCGGCTCTGCGCAGTGTGGGCAAGCAATATAACGCGGAGGTAGCCAGCGGCCGGCACGAGAATAGGGGCGGCGCTGGCGGCCGCGCACGCCCAGCGCGAGATGCAGCAGATTGCTCAGAGCTACCAAGACGTGAAGCCTGAGGGCGACGCCACGTACAGCCAGGTAACCGCCGACCTGGAGCAGTCCCGCCAGCAGGCTAGCATCGGTCGGCCCTCGGCTGATCAGCTTCAACGTGAGAACCGCCGCGTGAATTAGCAGCTCGATCAGTTAAAACGCGCCCTCGCCTCCCACGCCGACAACTCCAAGCAGCCGCAGCAGCAGCAGGCCGCCCAGCCGGCCGCGAACGACCGCCAAACGAAAGCAGTTGCAGATGAGCATCGAGCAGCAGAGCACGTAGATGGAAGCGGAGCAAAAGAGATGCAACAAAACCGCCTCCTTTCTGCAGACGCTGGAGGGAGGCGCCGCCGTGGTGTTGGGGGGTGGGGCCACCGGCAGCGCGGTCATGCTAACCCACGCCTCCACCATCATAAGCAATGCAGCTTCCAATACTTATGAGGAGTGCGTGGCGGGGCAACAATTATCAGAACAAGAACCACTGCAGTCGCGAGGGATTGCTTTCTCCGCCTTCAGATCTGCCATCCAGCCCAGCTGGTATTGAATACTGCCCCAGCTGCCGTCGGCATTGCTCTTCTGCTGGATTTGATTTACACGGTAATCGATCCAGACGATTTAGAGTACCCGGCGATAAGCCGGATCAGAGATTATTTTAGGCAGCTCAAGACTAGGGAAACCTTCGATCAGATGTGACGAATGGGGTTTTAAGTTAGACAGTAATTTAAATAGAAGTATTCAGAGACTTTGATTTTGAGCAGTTGACCACCGTTGGTCGAGGGTCTAAGTTACGGCGTACTCTATGTTAGGGTCTTCTTTTTACCGACAATTGAATCCATCCTCCTTTTGCTCAATACGCAGCCCGTAGTGATTATGTGAGTCTACGCGTACCCTCTACCAATCCAGGTTCATCTCTCGGTGATTCGTCTATCTGTCTGTTCTCCTCGGATCGAGCCTCTTTTCGCCCCTGGTCCTCTGGTTTCCTACATGATGTAGTACATACCGAGACTTCCCCACTTTAGGGGTCATGAAGATGAAAATAACTCGATCAGCAGCCCCCCCCCCGGGACACCGTTCCTATCTTCAACGGGCTCCGTTATCAGCGTTAAACAATGCTGTGGAAAGGTGTTGGCCTCGGGCTGTTTCTTCAAAGGGGCGGGAGCAATGGGTCTGTTCATACGATCTCGATTATATCATTATCATCCACACGTTCCGGCCACGTGTGACTCTCTGCCATCCCGTCGACGTACGCGACCGCAACGAATCGAAAAGCATCCCCTCTGCGGCGAAGCACGACCGGCATATCTTGTCCGATGAGTAGAGCAATCGCATCGTCGGGTTCGATCGAAAACTCGGCCACGCCCATGTAACCTGCCTCGGTGGTGAAGAAACGCTTGCCGCACAGATGGTCGAAGACGGTGCGTTGGAACTCATGGGCTTCGCGGTCTGAGGCCTTGTTGATTTCCGGCTCTTTCCTTGTCGAAAGGGGCTGCAGTCTCCCGTAGGCAAAATCTTTGGCCATCTCTGCTGTGTTGATCTGCGGTTTGGGGCTGTTCCACTCCATTTGTGCAGCGTCAAAAGCGACCATATCAAACCAACGTTCATCCGCTCCGAGTGGGATATATTGGGATTGAATTCTTTGTTGAATCGTGCGTTCGAATGCATTCTGCGTGCTGTCTCCCGTGGGGTAGGTCGATAATTGCTGGGAGTAGGAGAACCATTGCTGAAGGATCTTGTAGACGGGATCGGACTTTGCAATTGCCGCCCACAGATCCCGTTGGATGAGTTCTTCAGGGTCGTGCCCGTCAATCATCAGAGGCCAAGCACATTCTTTGATTCTATCAAGGACGGTCCCCTTGGTGATGAGAGTCCGAGTTCTGGTGATGGAATGACCAAATCGCGTTCTTGACTGCTTAAACGGCGGTGACAGCAGATCTAGGAAGCTTGGAGCCAACCCCCATCCTGTGCGCCAGTCAGGGACCCAGGATGGCAAAGTCTGTGCCCGGCGTGGTGAGGAGACGGTGCGAAGAATATCGAGGTTTCCATCGTGACAAATAATATCAGAAGCTGCTCTAATGTAGACGGTTTCCAATTCCAACTGGTAATTTGGTCGAGAAAGGTCGACCCCAAGTTCCCGAAGGATACCCCAAACACCAAAGATCTTATCCTTTGGATCATAACAGTGTTTTCGCCTTGTTAGATTCAAAACCATGTTGACGTTCTGGAAGTGTTTGCGAAATAGACGTAAATCAATCTTGCTGGCGGAGCTGAAATTGAAAAAGGACGACTGAACAGGCACCAGGCTTGCATCTCGAAGGGTCTCTCCGAAAAGAAGCAAACGTATCCGTTGACGCACACGACTTCTCTCCCATTGTATCAGGCGGCAGAAGAAACAATGTGCTGCGATTGCGCTCAGCATCTCCGAACGAATCACGCCATCAAGAGGATAGCCACCAGCGGAAGCTCTTAGGATGTGGCGCCATGAGATCTCTTCATCATCGCAAATCATCACCACCCGTTTCGCTTGCGCGAGGCTCACCTCTTGCAACGTCCAAACCCGCTGGAACCAAGGAGAGCGGAAGATTTGCTGAGCGATTGGCATGTAATCTTCATGAGCATTGGAGTAGGAGTGCCAAACTTTGTCTTCCACTACAGTTTCGTCAGTGCTTGGTTCCAAGCAAAAAAGACGTTTAAGTTACTGACAATTTCTCAGAAACTGCAAAACTGTGCGTATTTCCCGTACAAGCACACCCCCTTCGTAGCTATCGCAGTACCGGGCGCAATACGCGAGATACTTGAAGAAGGACGAAATCTTCGGTCCAGAAACCTCGAGCCAGATCAGGACTCGATTGGCTGACTTGTATATCTTATCCATCATGGAGACCTGACGGCTGCGTTCATTGGTGTCGCTTTGATTGATACATAACGAGTCAATCCAAAGCAAACGGCGCTTGATTTTCCGGCGGAGCCCAAGCAAGATTCTCTCGCAGCTTGGCGTGATGCATAAGGTCTTCCGGTTGCAGGTGATTGCACGATTGAAATCGGGAGGGCCCCAGACGTAGGACACTGCTTCATATCTGGGTAGACAGGTTCTATCCAAGCGCGCCTTCTTCAACGTAATTCGCAACGGAGCTGATTCTTCGCGCGCCGGTTCTAGTTCGAGAAGTCGGATGCATCTTACATCTCGGAGTTGGATATATTCGAAAGGGTTGGCCACCATAAGATCTAGTGTCATTTGATGGCGAGGAATGCGGAGATGGTGCTTTTAACTGTTCGAATTTATCGGCTGATTGGAGAATATCATTTCTTTCCAGGAAGTGCACTTCAGAATACTATTCAAGCACTGGCAGTACCCGTTGGCGCCAAGAGAAGGTGAATATTGGACGAAAAGATGCAGAAAAGGCGAGGAGGCCGAGAAAGACTGCACTTTATCGTCCCGTTCCGTTCAAAACAGCAAATGGAGAGCAAAGACTGCCCAGTTTGTAGGCACCAGCGACCTCTCATGTATGAGTAACGCAATACTGACAGAAGTATGTGGGGTGGATGGTGTTGAATAGGCAGCAAATCACAATCAGATCACAGCCAAATAGAGATGACAGGGTAGCAAATCAGCAGAGAGAAACAATTAAGAGAAGGACGGGGAAGGAAAAGTAGAAGACAGAAAAGAATGGACGATGGAGAGAATCAAGGAGCAAAAGGCCTGAATCCTGCGCGTTCCCAGATCGGGTGCGGCTTAGCCCGAAGCAGCATCGCCTTGGGGGTGGTTGGTAGGTCTGGCAAATTCGAAGGCCTCCATTACGCAGGTGTTCACGATTGGTTGCGGGATTGAAGATACGGCAAAGATGACCGTCTGGGGTGAGGATTGGCTAAATGAATTCTCTTGGGAATTTTCTGCAGGTGCTTTTGAACGCTGGGGTGGTTCGCTGCTCACTCGAGAATGGGGCCAGAGAGGCAATCGACAACGAGGTGCTCCGATACTCCGGCATGGAAGCGGGACGTCTACATGCTGTTCTAGATGATAATGTTTGCTGAGAGAAGGGAGAAGGACTGGACGGTAATATATCGAGGGCTATACGTTCGTTCGAAAGCATATAATAAGCAAGCATATTTGTCAAAGAGTTTGGTGTGATAGGTAGATAGCAGGTTGAGCAAGGTCAGCACAACGTGAAAAAATGGCAGCGCTTAGTAGGAGCAGGTAGAGAGTTATCTGTACGATTATGACGAGATCAACCTCTGGAGGCTCCTCCTATCTGTTGGGCGCCTCCCCTTTATCCCCTGTGTCACTGAATGGTGATACTTCCCTATTAAGAATAGTACTCCCGTACCTTAGTTTCATAATTTTTTGCAGAAGGAACATCAAGATTTCGTTTTTTTCGCTGCAGTCTTGGTAGGAGGGACACCAAAATTTTGGGATTTTGATGTTCTTTCTACCAAGGCAGCAGCAAGATTATTGAGCTATATCGCGGGAGTACTATTTTGAACAAGGAATGCAACCCATTCAGTGACATAGGGGATACTTCCAACGATCAAAAATAGGGTATGAAATCACATGAACCAATATTTGGTTGGGCAGGAAAGCTGGCTGACCAAACTTGGCCAATAAAATTCAGGGGGTTTATGGCTACATTTTATATGGGAGAAGCAGCTATTGTATGACACTAAAGTCAAACGTTTCACCATAATGCATATTGATGAGTGAACAATTTTGTATCAGAACCACAATGCGTTGCAAAATCATGCTCTCTTAGAGCTAACTCACAGGTCTAAGACCGTATGAAGAATACATAAACCCAACATACTATCATCCCATAATTCCTTACCTCGACACACCAGTCCTTTACATCATTCGTTTCTTTCGCCATTTCCAAAGGACCGCTATCCCCCAAATCAAAAGAATCCCCCAAATCATTTCCATCTCGCCTACTCACACTCTTGCCGACTTCGCAACCCAGCCCAGCTCGGCCTATCCCCCAAAATGCCCTGCTGCACCAGACCCTCCAAAACCAAAGGCGTCACCGAGTCCATCAGACGAACCGCCACCACCGCCGCCTCCACTCCAGGCCAACATGACAACGTGTACATTCAGCCGCAGGGGTCAGCCAGATATCCGACCAGCACACCTGCCGACCAAACGCCCGACAGACCCGCCAGCAGCGACTCAGGTAGCGCAAGCGGGACCCGGAAACTCAAGCGCCTTACAGGACTCCGTCCTCACCGCAACTTCGGCCACACTGCCAATGAAAACCCAGCCGCGGTTCATGGCGATGAAAAGTTAGGTGCCGGATCGCTGCGGAAGAAAACGGATGAGAACCGGGTGCTGCCGGCGAGTATTCTGATACTCAGTTAGGTAAGTCATAACAGGTTTCCGTTGATGGATAGGTTCTTTTCAATTAGAGGAAGCCCGTCATATATGGAGCGGTTTCGCCCTTCTAGACAACTCACTTTCATCACCCTCCATTTGCTAATGGTTTAATCGGTTCGCTCATCAACATAAAATAAGAATATCTCCCTATTCTGGTGTGTGGGGGCACAGTAGCTAAATTCGAAAAAAGCTAGTCGTAGCCGACATCAAGTCGTCGCTATCGAGGACATATACGTGTCCCTGGCGATGTTGGTATTTCTCCTGATTTTTCGAGAATCATCAAGGGCTAGTTAGTTTCTTCCAATATTCAGTACCGGCTGTGTTTTCGTAGAGGTGACATGAAGTCTCTACAGAGAATCTTTATGTGCTGGGCAGATCCGATCATTTCTGAGAAGTCGTCTCGTCCTGGCAGCCCATCAACAAAATCACGGCCAACAATTCTCCTGTGAGCGGAACATGCACATCCAGAATGACATGCGTCGGCATGCAGGCGAATCTGATGCAGCAGATCTCTTGTTTGGAACATGCCTTTCAGATGGCTAGTTAGTGTAAGTATTGGCGACACGTTTCAGACCTTTTGGCACTGATCCTGTGCTGCAGTACGGCACACCTAGTTAGGATGCAATTCATAATTGGCTTATGTGAGTATGACGGAAAATGTGACGGAGCAACACAACGGAGCAACACCTGAGCAGCCTGCACAAGAGGGTAAGCAGGCTAGAGTCGAGAGTAGATACTTAGCGTCCGTGCAAAGGCGGCGATGCTAACTAACCACATGGATGCCTCATGCGAATAAATCTTTTGTATCTGGTTACCTCCTTATAATCTTTTGAGGAGAATCTATGCGGCGCTTGGGTGATAGCACGATCCCGTTGGACCCTCAAAGACCCACCTAGGCCTGCAGACGAGCCATCAATTCCAGGTGTATTGTGAACTCCGATCTCAAAATTTCAATAACTACAATGCCCTACCTCCCTTGTCTCCACAACCACTTCTCAATCCCCCCAGCATCTGGCCCCTTCGGCACCAGCCTCTTGGCAGTCTTTCACCTCTTATATCTGGATCTCCATTTCAAGTTGAATATCTCAGGAAGATTTCTTGGCGTAAATGAGAGAGCTAACGTCAGGATAGAAGAGGTGAATGGAGAAAGTGGTGTTTGAAAAGTGGGAGTGTTAAAAATGGTTCCCTGCACACTCTTTATCCCACTTTATTGTTATACTTTTATGTTTACTTGGATACATGCTTTCATATGTACTTCTTCCTTGTATGCTTGTACGCTTGTACGCTTGTACGCTTGTACGCTTGTTTGCTTGTTTGCATTTGCTTGCTCGGTGTCCTCTAGATATTTCCATGGTAGCTCTTTATAAAGGTATTATCCCATAAGATTTTTTCTGGCGGGGCCTACATCTGGTTAGTCAGCATCGCCGCCTCTGCTCAGGCGCTATCCACCCTTGACTCACCCTCTGCTCAGTTCGCTCACCCACTTGCTCAGGCTGCTCAGGTCTTGCTCAGTCATGTTTGCCTTCCGCTCCTACAAGCCAATCATGAAACGTGACCGAACCGTCATGTCTTTCCCGTCAAGTTTAGACGACGATGCTCAGGGTGCCCAGTTCGTGGACCTGGAGCCCCAAATCGGTCCCGCCCCCTTAAAGATAACCATAACGTGCCTTCACCCCGGTTCACATTGCCAATAGGTTTTCAAAAGATTAAGGGTTCTGATTAAGGGTTCTCCCGCTGTCTACTGACTCGCTCCTCAAAGATTTCTCCCTTCCTCTCTACAGTTTTTAATTAACTCTTAAAAATATTTACTTCCATCAATCTGTAAAGCTCAAGTCTTTCCTCTCCTTTCTTATGACTTACTCAGTCTTTTCCGTTATTATCCTCGATTCATACGATCAGATCATGGCGGTGAAACTGTTCTTCTTGCTCCTGCGCATCATCAATTACAACAGACAGCTGATTCTGTTGCCCAATTCCATAAATGTTATTTGTACGGAGCTAGTACAACTAATCAACGAATTGAAGCTTGGTGGAATCAGCTTACGAAGAATCTTCTCTTTCGGTGGAGAGTGAATCTTCGTACCAAACTTGAAATGAAGAAGCGTGTCAGACATAAGCTATTATTATTCGGTCCTCCGAGGGCCGTGGTCCTTTTAGCCCAACAGGATGCTTCTCGGCTAAGATCGGCTTCCTCTTCTCTAATACCTCGCGCTTCACTGACAGTGCTTCTCGCAGCTCTCCCACTTTCCCAAGCGTAATTGCCAGATTGTTCATCATCAAGATCGTGTTAGAATGCTCCGCTATACACATAACTTGCATTCTCTTGAGAATAAATTGCTCGATAGAAAGTCTCATTCCAACGGCCAGCAGAGTTCAGCAAGTTAGTAATAATCTAAAAACAATCGAGAGCTAGCTCAACCTTGATTTTCTGGTCGTCATTAACGGTCATCTTGCGCGTCGAACAGACTGGTAAAGATGTCGTCCCAATATAAGAAACCAAATAGTGTTAAAGTTGTCCAGCCGAAGACTACGGCGCTACACCGCCTCGAACGTCGTCTCCCATGTGGTGAGCACACTCGCTCCGTACTTGTGGCCGAGCCGTTCAGGCTTCTGACTTACAAGCTGTTTCCGCCGCTGCCGATACTCTGGGCAGGTACTGCTTAATGTCGATGCTCAAGCGGGGAGTCGCAACGACGTACCACCCGGCCAAGGTGACAGCCAATGTCAGACACCCGAGTTCGTCGACGATGGATGCCACCTCGATTCTCTGCTCGGTTGTGACCGCTGTCATCTTTTGCTTGCCTCAGGAACAGCAGTATCGCCTCTTCTGCAGCCATCTTCACCCACTTCGACCCCGTCAAGTCCACTCATTTCGTGTCGTAACAACCACATCGACAGATGGCTCGTCTGGGAGGAAGTATCGCAGATCCACATAGGACGGCTCTTGCTCGTACTCAACGTTGTCTGCGCTGTCAAAGATGAACAGCCAACTCTTCCTCCGGCTATAGAACCACCGTTTAACCGCCGGCACCGCATCTTCAATTCGATCCCAGCCTAGTAACGTCGTGGACGTCGTACAACAGCCGGTAGATCTGTACGAAGTTTCGCTGTTAGCCCACCTTCATCGCCGCCTCGAGCCAGAAGACCGCTGCATAGTCGCTACGATACTCCTGGACGTAGTTTGACACTAGCTGACTCTTGCCTGCACCGCCTGCGCCATGTACGACGACAATTCTCTGTGTCCGCTTTTCGTCCGGTGTGGGGTTGTGGAGCTGACCTCGGAGTTTCTGGTGCAACGCCGGTCCTTTGACAAAGGTAGGAGCGGGCACGAGGGCATTATGGGAATAGTGGCCACGCGTAGTCGGTTCGGGCCGCGACTTTGGAATCTGGTGCTCGTTCGCTGAGTCTCTTTGGCGAGTCAGTTGTGATAGCACGCACTGATCGTCCCTCCAATTTGGTCACCCAAATGGATGCCGTGGGCGTGTTTTCCAATGTCAACGCGGTAGCCATGGCCGTTTCTTGAAATTAAGTGATCCATCAACGGCATACCGAAAGACCGGTACCAGTCTGCGCAACAAACATGGCTTTCAAGCAGATCGACTGCCAAGCGGGTTTCTGGGGCATCGTGCCAGGCTGCAATGCCCGGACGTCGTCAATATAAAGTAACAGTCAGCCACGCACAGGCCTCCTCAGAAGTCGAGCGCGAAACAAGCCAGCGACGGTGAACCTCAAACCGGTAGGGGCAGGAGAATGTCGTCCACCAATAGCCATTGTTAGCCCCACCCAGCTTGACAGCCAAAGGAAAGTAAAGTCCGCATGGAGCCCACCCTAGCCTCATCAGACTTTTGAGACGACATGCGAGAACTCTCAAAGCCATCCTGGATAATACCAGCGAGATATCACATGCAATCTCAGATTTTACTCCTTTGAAAACTCATAGACGTGAACCTTGACTGGACTATATGTGCCGTTCTCCTATGTCTATCGAGATCCATGCGGCTCAATGTTGTGTGCGCCTTGCTTTCAGCCAACCCGCCTGCGTGTCACATCGGGTATTCAAAAGCTGCCACCTTCGAAACCTCCGGAAGACAACAAACTCATCAACGCAATGCAACCACTCTCGCAAACTCTTCCGCTCCATCATCGCAATGCCAACCCAGCGTTCAGAATGATCACGAGTCTCGGCTTTTGGGAGACGTTCGCAATAGTAGTTGACCTCTTGAACGCAATGGGTTGATTCAGTCTGACCCAGTCCGGACTAAGACCCAGTAGAACAAACCTATCAGTCTTGAATTAGCATAATCATCGATGGGTTGGACCAGGCCCGAGCCGAACCGGTCCATTAACCATCCTGGTAAGCGCTGTGCCACCTCCAAACGTCATTCTTACACAATCTCGACAGTGAACGCCTGCCAACTCCGTACAGAGCTGAGCGACGCATGAAAAAAGCCGACACGAGTATGGACATCACTACAGCCCTTCTGCAGAATCAAGCCCCTTACTCGATTTCTATCCCAATTAGCTATCCCAACGGCAATGAATGTAAGGTCAATTTGGAGAGCGACCACAGCACCATTCACAAAAGTAACGATCTCATCGGCACAATCTGGCCAAACGACCAACCCATCCATTGACTCCTTTGTACTCCGCATGTTCGATTTTACCGTTCCCATTCTTAAATCTCCTGCTTCACACCACCATCTTCCGCTTCTAGCGAGACTATGGATCGTGATCGATCCATGAGCGGTCTTTCCGAAGCCCCCTACAGCGCTCGCAGTCAGGATCCTGAATTGAGGAATTGCTTCTTCGCTGCAGTGGATTGAAACAGCATTATCGAGGCCGGCCCATGACCACGATGGCGTTCGATCGATCCTCGGTCGCGTATGCATTTCGCTTGGAGGAGCGATCACTCTCCATTGTAAGAGCGAAGGAAGTGTCTCGTAGTTCCACAAGCCTGCGAGATACGGAATGCCGGTGAGTCGACGCAATTCTTGGGCGACTCCACCAATAGCTGCCAAACGGTCGTCTGCAAAGGTAAGTTTGAGAGTGGAATACTCCTCGACGATGAATTTCCAGGACTGAAAGAGCTCTTCTCTGGAGCGTGGGAATGTTGGAACGCTAAGAGGATTGAGAGTTGGGAACAGATTATAATTGAGAGAGCCGTCTTGTGCGGTTGAGTCTTTGTTGAGAGAAGGAAGACGCTGGTGGCCGCCATAGCTAGTACAGCACGAGCAAGACCAGCGGACAGTTCTCCAGCCGTACTCCAACAATCGAGGTGACAGTAGGCGCTCTTGGTACGCCCATGCGCGAGTGCCCAGCGGCTCGGTCGCTGGCGGAAGCCAACATTTGTGGCTGTCCAGATAAACCGTACCACCACGCCCATCGGGAAACTTGACCGGTATCTGATATTCGCTGTAATCTGGCCTAGACTGAAGGAATCCTTCCCGGCAAGATTCCGTCGAAGATGCACAGATTGTCAGCTCTGCGTTCTTGTATATGAGAGGCATCTGAAGAATTTCCCTCTTCATATCATCGTTATCATCTTGGACGATGCACAAACTGTCAATCCATAAGTACCGAAAGCCTAATTCGCGAGCTATACTGAAAGTGTCTTGGAATGCTGCTGGTAGACTGCTAATGTGCCCGTTCCAGGCTCCACTTGAGTCAATATTGCGGCTTGAGCAATAGAGTGACTGCCGGTCACCCCAGCAGTACGACAGACAAACGTAAGCCGGAACAGATGTCTCTTCTGACTTTTTGACCGCGAAGCCGTCGCTACTTGGTTCGCCTCCCAAGTCAATAATTCGCGTAGGTCTAAACGGACCGTCGCCATTTTTGCTTGAGACGCAGGTACAGTTCGACAGCCACTGCTTTACATTTAATATAGTCTGAGAAGAATGCACTTCCAGATCGATCGAAGGTAACATCCATTCAACATTGTCCCCTGTTCGGATTAGTACAGAACAGACAGTAAAAGTCGGCTTAAAAATCTATATGAGACTAACCAGTATAAGTGTATGCGTTGAGACGCCTCCCTTGTACTCCATTTCCACTGTCAAGATATGCGAAAGAAAGCAATGCTGGCTCCGGGCCACGAGCATCAGGACAGGCTTCTAGAGTCAGTGTGAAAGGTTTGCGACTCAGGCTTCTCAGGACATGTTCGAAACGCTGGCGAACGCTCCGGCAATGGTCGCATCTGTCGAGATAATGTTTCTTGATCAGCTGCCAAATTCTCTGACGACTGTAATTCTCGATAAGCTCTTTGAAGATCGTACAACCATCGAGATACGCCTCGCGGGCTTGCCTACTGGTTTGAGGAAAAAGAATTCGCGGTATTGGCCGAGACCGGCTCGAAGAGATTCGAAGTGGTGTTCGGCAATGAACACAAGAGTGAGGTAGCAGTCGGCCGGCTGACTCTCTTGTCTCGACAGAACTCTTTCCACTTTCCATCACGAACAGGGATCAGACAGTTATGTCCTTAACAATGTGGCTTCTGACACGGCATATGTGAGCCGTTGTGGTAGAATGCGGCTTGGCTCGCGGCTATTTGTTTTCAAAGAAAGGAAGCCGACTCTTCTTTGGATCTCCAGTTGACTAACGACGTGTTCGTAAGTATGCAAAGTATGCTGAATGCCTATCGAAGCCACATGGGCATGTGTGACTACTTGGATCGACTTCACGTTCACACATCGGACAGCACCACCCATAATTTCTGTCTTCGGCAGCCGAACAAGGACCACACAAGGCGAAGAGGTGATTTGGCCCGTATCCCTCTCGGTAGTAGCAGGCAGTGCAAATCATTTGGAATAGAACTTTTCGCTGAAAGTGTGAGAAGTCGAGATGCACTGGCAACTTGACTGGAGGTAGATGCTTCTGATGAAAGGATGCCGACTTATCCGTACTTATGATGCGTATCGGTGATAAGGGTTACGCGCAATGATTGGGAAATCCTGCAGATGTATTGACTAATATCCCATTTGCCACGTTCTGCTGCGTACTGCAATTCAGCAAGGCTGCGCGACCGGTGAACATCAAGTCCAATCACAAACATCAGTACAACAGGAGTGAGGCGTACGAGCCGCAGCTGAGGCAGCCGCAGTTGATGTGAGTTCCTTCAAGCGCTCAGGCTGAGCGCCTTGTGGGGGCGGCCTGCAGACAGTACTACGTACAACGGTCATGCCCATAAGTATTGCAAGTGGGTCCGCTAACGTTCTGTCATTTACAGCACTTTTTCAACTCCATGGTATTATGCGCTACTACGGGGGGGCCCATAAGTATTGTTAGCTCGGCGCTAGTATCTTTACTTGTAAACCCTCATTGTACAGAACAGCTATGTTCAAAAGAAGTTAGATGTAATGATTTGACTCATCAGAATGGATGCACACAAAACAAGCTTTAAAGTGGCGAATCATAACACTTTGCTGTCGTGATAAGAACTACTATTACGTAGTAATGAGAATTTGTTGTACGAAGTATTGTCACGGACTAGTAAATAACGCATTGCAGTGTAAAGCAGCTGACAGGTTGGGAGCGGTACTACGGTACCGGGCAGAAGTATTCATAGCAGCTACTGTCATACATGATATTTTGGTGCCTGTCAGAATCCATGCGTATATGATACGTACCTGATACGCATTAGCACGATGATACAGGGTCCCCGCACGCGAAACGCTCTTGTAACTGATACGCCTTCCCTAAAGGACAGTCCGCCAAGACCTTTATTTTCATCAAAAATAACACTGAAAATAGAAGGCCTTCCTGCCAAGACTTCCATTCTGACTAATTCGTCAAATTTCAAAGTCTTAGTTTAGTTTGACGAACTTTTTGGGTTACTATTTGCCAGGCATTGATTTGGTTTAATTTGATTCAGATGGACACACTGATACTTATTATCCGCAACCCAAGCTGTTCTTCCCAACTGAAGACACCATTTGCTGCTACAGGTGCATCCAAACCGTCGGCCGCGAATGAATCCATCAGCTCATTGGTGACAGGGTTGACGTCTCGGAGACGGGAAAAGAGAGAATAGAGGAAAGAGAGACTACTAAGTGAGCCAAAGGTGACTATTGCTCCCAACAGAAACAGGCTTCGCGATGACGTGATCGAGGCGACAAAATTTTCGAATAATAGGTGCAAGAATCAGCTGTGAAGACAGCTAGATCAGAACGCCATAGCTAGTATTAATGCCCTGGTCCTCTATCTCAAGTCCATCTTTGCGCAAGATCAAAAATCTCACCCCTTTAACTGCCAGTGTAATACCGACCTTCACACTGGTCGGAACCAACGGTGTTGGGGCTTTGATTGGTTGCTTTGATTTAGTTTGCGAACCTGATCTCGGCCAAAGCTCGAGCAGCACGACTTTATAACCTGCATGTAGGCTCGTCCAGTCAATGACCATAAACGCCTACCATATATGCTTGAATCCAGCAACTTGAAATCAACCGACTACATGATGGAGTGCTTCGTCTTTGCGGCCTGCCTCTTGGCAGCTGAAGAGGCAGAGAGACAAGCAGTCGTCTCCCGAAAGGACGTCTGGTCTTGGCGAGAAGCCACGATCTGAAGGGTCAATCCGGTGGGAAGGTTTTGAAAGAAAAGGGTGCGAAAGGGAATAGAAGAGGTGAACACTTGAAACCAACTCTCCGAATGCTGTTGAAAAAAACCCCGTCCCTTCTGGAAGGTCAATTTCCGAATAAGAATTCCTACAGTTCAATAACAGATGGTGTTTTGTATAAATGTCAGATGATGACAGCATCGCTTGTTCTGTAAATAATCAGCGAGCTAGTTACCAGGCCCCTTTTGCTCAAACCCGTCAGCAGAGATCCTTGTGATTTATTAAAGAGACATCATGCATTATAGCACAAAAGAATTCCTAAGACTCACTGAAGGGAGAATTATTCGCAAAAATTTGCTTATACCGAACCCGAGTCAGACCGCCCCTGCATCCGTGCAATCTTTCCTGTAAATCGTCCGGCCCACATAGAACAAAGCTGGTCAAAGATTTCCAACTCATCTCGACTCCGATCAAATTCAAGGTATCCTTCATTTTCCTTGAGCAGTTGATCTCTTGCAAGCCTGGCCAATTTCAACTCTTCGGCAGCTTGTTCTTGCTTTCCTAGGCGATCCAGGACGAAGTGATAGCGGTACTGGGCTCGCGCTACCCCTTCCCGGTCCCACTGCCCCCTTTTCCGGCGCTGAAGGCATATTTTGAAGCATTGACTATGAAGTTTTGGTGAGTTTTCCGGCTCAATCGTGTCCTTGATATGTTGAAGAGGGCGGGAAATGTGTTTGGTCAATACTTACTCTGCTTCCTCTGATCTACCATTGTGATGCAGCAAAGCTCCATAGGTAGAATAGCTTTCAAGCGTAAAGCCGTTGAATTCGCCACAGGTCCTCTTTCGCGCATCAAGAATTTCCTTATTCAAGGTAAGAGCCTGCGGGAGATTTTGGCTGTGGTAGTAAAGATTTGCAAGACCAAATTTCCACAATTGCGTCATGCCGTGTTCTGCTCCGGCAGCTTTAGACACGAGGCATAAAGCATGCTCACCAGATTCCAGTGCTTTTGCAGGCAAGCTTTGAGAGGCAAACACGAAAGACATCAGGTAGTGGTATTTGGCGTACTCAAAAGGAATCTCGTCTTCGTCACCCCAGGTTTGGTACTCACGCAAACAGCGCTCCATTATATGCTTGACTTCATCCAGACGTTCTTCTTGTAAATATCCAAAGGCTAGGTCGCTTTCTGCGTTGATGTAACGAACGTGGTCCAGCCGCGTCAACTGGTTTTCTGGGGTTTTTTCAAACTTCCTTTTACGAATATCAAGAGCATTAGAACGACGCTTCATACTTTCGCGTCGGTCGCTCACACCAGAGAAGCCGGAAAGTGCGCCAAGATTGGCTAGGATATCGCTGCGAAGTGCGTTAAACTTGGGAATGCCTCGCTCGTCCAGTATTTCTTCGGCGGTTTCCAAAGCTTTGGCACCATCAGACATTAGTCCGGCATGCCACATGTACGTTCCTAGGTCTGGGACAAGGTTCGGTCATTAGCTGCTATCTTCTGATGTATTCGAAGAGCTGGAGACACTGGAATTGGCAAAATATGAAAATGTGCCAAAATTACGTACCTAAGGAGTTTTACAGCGTTAGCCCACGTTTCTGGGAATTCGAAATACCAAAAGCTACAGCAGCTAGCAGAAATTGTAGAGCAAAACTTACTCACCACCTAGCATCCGGGCAAAATCCACGGGGAAGTCGACGGCTGGGGTCGGCCACAAGCAGTGATTTCGCAGACTCAGGACTTGCGGGCTGAATTGTTGAAAATCAGGCCATTTCTCTGGTTCGGGCTCTTGTAAGGGAGAGCTTATAGGCAAACCTCGACGAAGGAGTACAAAAGCTTGTTGGTAAACTCCCCAGCGCTGGTCATTGTTTCGACTCAGCTCAAGGATGATGCTCCATTGCAAGCTCCTGTGTATGGTAAGGTAGCCTTCACCTTCAGACACTTCCCGCTTAACAAGCTGACGCCGACTTAGCGTACGCACCATCTCGGTTAGTCTGTGCTGTTCTCAGTGAATATCCTCAAGGAGACAGAATTAATCACTTACTGATCCTTATGTCTTAAAAATTCGACTTCTGGTTGATTTGGCGCAGCTAGTAGTATGCTTTCCGGAATCGAATCAGGATTTAAGAATGCGAGTATATTGACAAGTTTTCGAGCATTCTTGTTGCGCTGCTGCAGCTCTTGGAGAGCTATCTCAAACACTTTATCCAGACTCCGTTCATAGCTTGCAGTATAAGGATTCTGATCGTCCCTCCAGAAATCCGAGGAGTGTTTCATTGTTAGTAGAAAGTCTTTTGGTGAGCTTTGAGCTTCTTTGATAGCCCCTGCAATAGTCGCAATAGCAATTGGTAAGCCTCCAAAAAAGTCCGTCATCTCCGCAGCCGCCAAGCGCTCGTCATCGTCCGTGGTCTTCTGGTCAAGATATCTGAAAAGAAGCTCGATAGATGCATCTTGATCAAGACTAGAGACTGGCAATTTGTGAAAGTCCATATCCAACTTCCGGAAATTTGGGTTCTGCGTGGTGATTAAAACGGAGCCTCGGGTTCTACTCCGCTGTGGAATATAGCGTTCAACGTCAGAGATGTCTTCCACATTGTCAAAAACAAGAATCCAAACACGATCTAGAGAAGAGTCAACCAATGAATCGGTTCTGTAAAGTCAAGGCCTACTTGTATACTGTAACCAGTTACGTACTGCTTCAGTCGGCTGTAATTGATCGTGCTCATTACCGACGATCCTACCGAAGTCAGGATCACCATTTTTGAGACGGCGAAGTATGCCTGCAACATGGTTGGCGAGCTGCGGCTCCTGTTCACTAGGAAGCCAAAATAAAGCATCATAATCATCTTCAAAACGATGCGTATACTCCAGCGCAACCTGAGTCTTACCGACCCCCGGAAGGCCATGGATGACACAGAATGTGGGCTTTAGGTTCAATCTCTCCTCATTCCCTGGTTCTGCAGCGTTCCGCGGTGAAAATCTTTTATATATGCTGGTCATTTCTTCTTCCCTTCCATAAAAATCCAAATTCCTAAATTTTTCAATCGCGTTGATTTTGCGCTTTTGGCACTCGTGTGTAGAAATTCGATTAGGAGGCTGCGTCACGTCACGTAAATAACGTGCCTCTCACTTCCTCCCGATGGATGGCCTGCACCTCGTCTTTGAAACGCTGTATATGCTTTTCTATCCGAGTCTTGGTTGCTTTGAGTTTTCGCTGAGGCGAAGAATTCCAAAGATATGAAAACAAATTCCCTACCAGTAAGAGGGTGAGCAATCACATCGCTCGTTACGGCACCTTGTTGTAGCTTTAAACATTGGGAAATGCCCAAAGGTATTCCAAGATTGAGGGATGAGGGATGGCATATTGGACTTACATCCTGGCGGGTTTTGGAAATATCGGACAGAGACAATGCAAAAACTCAAGAAGTCTTCGTAGATATCTTGGAGATGCCACTGTAGCTCCTCCCGATCTGGGTACAGCGTGAGGTCACGTTCGATGTTCGCAAGAGTGTAATTCAGCTCTCCGACCATGTCATACACTTCTTCTAACGAATTCGGACCGGAAGCTGCACACTAAAGGAAAACAAGGGTGAGACACCGGTACATTCAAACCTAACATCGTTGGATCACGAGAGCCTACCTGGAGAACTGCTTGAATGCCACTCCACACCAAGCACCCAATCGGACGATACTGCGAAGCGGAAGTGATGGCGCCGACGTAAGTCTGGACATGCAGAAGACTAGGCTGGATTTTATTCAATAACTGTACGGCTTCAAGTCGTCCAAAAACGGTGCTAGAACGATTCAGGGCATCCTTCAGCTCTCGTATCGACTCTGTAGATAAAGTGTTGCTGCATTTTGCTTTTGTTAATTCGCATTTCGCCTTTTCGAACAGGCTTTCCCATCTTTCCTTGAGAAGACGGTCCATAGCGTCTCCTTGTCAGCCTAGGCAAACAGAAAGAACGTTGCAACGGGGAAAAGATATCAGCAGAATTTGCAAAGACATGGCCATGACGTAGTCTCAGCCTTGTCCTCGTCCGTAATCAGTGCGCACGAATAACTCCGAAAGCTAGTGAGGAATGGGTGTGGTCTAAGTTAGGCTTCAGGCTTTTTCGCAGAAATCGTAAGATGTGGAATATTGTGGCTGGCCACAATTTTGCAAAGTGTTGGAAGTGAGTGAGCAAGGCTGGCAAAAGCTGCTAACGTTGGTGGGGCAGGCCTTGGTGCCTGAGCGAGGTGCCTACCGACCATGACATTGTACTACGGTATGCGGCGAAAGTGATGTCCCTAAATCGCCAAGACGAATTCATATATACCGTTACAAAACGTCTGTTACCCCAGCATAATATGACTACCGACAAAACAAAAGATAATATACAAGTGATAAGCGACTTTCTATCTCTAATACTGACCACTATCACTTATAGATGCAAAAAGAACACCAAAGATAATGTTAAGAGAAGTTGTGTACAGACATGTCAAGAAGGCATCATTACTAGTGATAACGAAAGTTTCTAGTGCCCTGTCGACATTACTTTCGCTTGTAGGTTTCTCCCTCATCAAATCAGATCATGATACGTAATTAGTATTTGTGGAGCCGAGCCCACCGTAGCAAGGCGCTAATGTCAGCGCGTATCCCTCCATTCGTGGCCCTGTGCCCACCACGCCAGAAAGACAACGGCCTGGCGATTCCAAATTGAAGTAACGGTGAGCGGAGAGGAAGGCGGTTTCCACCTTTAGAAACAGACTGGCGTTAATGCAGAATATATGTTTTGTGCGGGCAGTGGAGCACAAGGCTATCAGCCCTGCAAAATCACAACCAAGGTCTATCTGAGATTTCTGCTCGCAAAAACTCCTCAAGCATGGTTGAAGTGATCCAACGGTTGCGGGCTCTTGTTCCCCTCATCTCCGAAATTTGCCAGATTGCCGGAACGCCAGGAGTATCGATCGGCGTCCTACACGAGGGTGCCATCGTGTTCACGCACAACTATGGTTATCGAGACGTCAAGGCTAGATTACCTCCTAACGAAAATACTATCTACCACCTCGGATCTCTCAGTAAATCATTTACCGCTGCTAGCCTCGGCATTCTCGTGGACGAGGGCAAATTATCGTGGGGAGACAGCGTCAAGGACCTCTTACCCAAATTTCGGCATTTTGATGAGACTGTTTACGATCACGCAAATGTGATAGACTTTCTGTCTCACAGAACGGGTCTGGCTCCTAAGAACAGCCTGTGGCTTCATGAGCGTGCTGGTCTATCCTTGGCACGAAGGGAAACGTTGAACGTGGTCTCCTACTTGGAGATCGTCGCCGAGTTTCGGTCGCAGTGGCTATATAATAACTGGGGTTACGCTCTTGCTGACCTCATCACGGAACGTCTGAGCGGACAAAGCTGGGGTGATTTCCTCACACGCCGCATCCTAGAACCATTGGCTCTCAATCGTACCAGAACTCGCCATGACTCTGACAAAAAGAATGTCGCCCAGGCTTACATGGCCCTCTCTGATGGCTCGCCCTTTCAGCTTCCAAGACCGCGAATCGGAGATGGTACTATCATGGAAGGCGCCGCTGGTGTTCAAAGCACCGTCAGCGACCTGCTCAAGTATTCTCAAGTTCTGATGGAGACCGCGGCCAAGGAGGATTCGGAGCAAACAAAAAACATTACCGGCTATTCACCATTCAAGCAACTTCGAGTGATACTCAAAGGTCATATAGATCTTTCCCCTGTAGTGGCAGGCAGGGAGCAGTCCTACGCACTTGGGTGGATCCGTACGATGCTACCTGGTCCCCTCGGCACTTGCGGCCTCAATCCGATGTATGTTGAATCAATGCCTATTGTCGGAAAAGGCATCGACGATCCTGAACTCGTGATTCATCATCAAGGAAGCATAATTGACTTCCTTTCTTCGATACATCTGATTCCGCGCACCCGTACCGCCGTGGTTGTATTGACAAATTCACTGGCGAGAAATGACGCCGCTGACTGGTTAGGGCAGCTGATTGTCGAGGCCATCCTTGATAATCCGTACAAGAACGATTATGTGGAGCTGGCCAAACAAAGCGCTGAAACATCTATTGCTCTGTGGTCGCAAATGGCTCGTAATCTTGAGGAAGGCCGGGACCCCAACACCCCGAGAAGACCAAATTGGGAATACGTTGGCTCATATTACAACGTCGTCAAGGATTACTATATCGAAGTCTTTGAGAAGGACCAAGAACTCTTCATGTGTCATCAGGGTGACAGGTCTCAATCCTATCAGCTCAAACATTTTAGGTACGACTCGTTCTCTTGGCTCCTTACCCGAGACGAGTGCGCTCATAGAGGTCTCTTCCCGGAAACTCATCTCGAATTTTATATACTAAGGTTTGGTTTGGATGAGCGCGATAACATTGACCACGTCGTATGGAAACATGACCCAAGTGTGCCCGAAGGAGAAACTTTTCGTCAACTATGCCAACAAGCTTCGATAGTCGAGCAAAAGCAGGGTGGCAATCAAAACGTCTTGGGACCCAAAGGTTGAACCAGAAGATTAACCTACCTTCAATTACTGCTGTTGATAAAACTAGCCATTCTACACTTTTCTATCACATTGAAAATGCTTCAAGGCGAACATAGATGCTGGTTTATATCAGGTAACTTTAGCATGACTAAGAGGGGAGTTGTACGCCGAGTGGGTTATCTTTTGATCTTTTACTTAGACCAGATGGCCATGACCTCAAACTCCTACAACCGGGCGGAGAACTACTCTGTTGAACCAAATGTTCAAGCAATTTATTTAAATCAACCTCATCAAAGAGTGCCGAGCGCTAAATTTTGTATCTTCTAACTCACTCCATTCACCGCGGCCTCAACCACATGGGGGTGTCCTCCATCAAAGTGACGCGTTGAAAACAGTTCAAACTAAATTTTGCCCATTCCCCTGGCCGTTGTCAAGCAGCAGCGGTTGAGTGTTGCACATCGTCGTCACAGCGTGTTTTGATCTTATCCTCTCCTTCAAATCCGCTATTCACCTTGTCACCTTCCACATTCTTCTTCCAGGGCTGCCAACGCTTCTCAGCAGCCGCTGCTGCTTGTGCTTGTTCCATCCAAGCGGGTTTCTGTGAGTCCGCAACATTGATGCTGGTCTCTTGTCGCTCTTTCTCAGGCATTTTTCTACCGCTATTCGTCAATAAAATAAGCTTTGAAGCTCAATATTGTTATCAGGAATTTGCAAGACTTACTCTGGAGCCTGCTTGATGCAATTTTGACAGCGTGTCTGAATTCGTCAATGCAAATACTGGATCCAAGTAGAAGATATACTTTGAACCAAAAAGGGCGTGGAGTGGGAGCCGGATTCATGTGAGTTCAATCTCCACGAACTTCTTCACAAGGCCATCGGACCGCTGATCATGCGGGGTAGAGAAGGCATTTCGCCAAAGTGGCATCGATCGCTGATGTTTGCTGTCGTGGCCTGCGTTGATTGGATAGACCTATGTATTCTTGACGACTAGCTTCCAACCAATGGAAATATGATAGATCATGACAGGCTCGATGCTATCCCGATGGCCCCTTCATTCGTGCTGACTAGGTATTGTCAAGGAAAGCATCCTAATCCAGGACAGGGGCTTGGAAGCAGCCTTGTTGGTAACTCGTTGAGATAGATGAGGCTACGTCATTGTAACTCCATGCACGATCAATCTGACAGGCCAGACCAGTCAAAATGAGGCATGGAATAGAGAGGTGGTTTGAGGCCTGACGGGTTCAAAATTGACTCATAGGATTAAAGTATCAACGTAGATTCCTCTTCAAGACAAAAAGACATAAATCGCCAATATATCGTGCTGAAGAAGCCATGGACAAGAACGAGGAGCCATCGTCCGTCAAAGCGAGCATCAAGTACATCAAGTGGCAGGAATTATATGAAAAGGAAAAGCCATTTCAAATTTTTATCGACATTCGAAAAGACGCCGTCGATCAAAGATACCACAATCTGGTATTCGAGAACAAGCAGGAAACGTTCTTCAACATCAGGGGCCGGGAGCAAGAGTTTCGACTTGACGATCATGGCTTCGCCTATCACCACCACCACTTCAACTTCGACGATTATGAAGATCGGGTTAGTGTAGAGAGCAGCTATCTGCCACAGGTCGAGAGTTTTATCAGAAACGAAGTAGAAGAAGTGGACAAAGTCTTCTTCTTCGATTGGAGAGTATGAAATGAGATTTCATCCTTCTGTTCCACCAGGTCTGGCCGTGACCAGGGGGGCGTTCCAGAAGATCGATCTAACACAGCTTACAGTTGCGACATAGCGGTTCATATCCCAAAGGAACCGAGATCGACTTGAACGATCCTACTGACTGGCTCCTGCCTTCCATACATGCTCACATCGTAGGTCCTGCAAGGCCACCCTTCTTTCTGGACTCGTACTCATATCGTGGATTAAATGTTAGGACCAAGCACCTGGAGCCGTGCTGAATCGTACCCTGCTGCAGTTGCCCGATGAAGCAGAGTTTCTACTACGAGGCAGAGTGAGAGTAATCACGTAAGCTACACTCGACGCAAAAATACCCCAATGCCACCCCTTATTCATGCTGAGCAAGATGCGCAGAGTGTGGAAGCCGCTGCGAAATCCCGTTGAAGATTGGCCTTTGGCTGTGTGCGATGGAAGCAATGTCGAGTACAGCGATATGGTCGAAACAGATCATGTGAGGCGACTTTACACTGGTGCAAACATGAATGTGATGCACAGGGCAAAGTACCGTTGGCATTATTTGCACAAGCAATCTGAATCGGAGGTGCTCCTGTTGAAGCAATTCGACTCCGCTTCAAATGTAAAAGCTAGATGTAAGTTTGTGATTCAATGCGGTTGGGGATGGACATGTGATTAACTTAATGGTATTCAGTCTCTCCTCACGTCTCATTCGAACACCCGAATGTACCCACTGGTGCACCAAGACGAGAAAGCATTGAGGTGAGGGCCTTGGTCTTCACATACGCACATCCGAATGGTTCATCCTAAGCCGACGTTCGACTTTGATAATGATTGGTGTAGCCTACCCTGATTATCTTTGTCACTCACTGTGAGACGCCTTTCTGCATGTATCAAGGAAGCTCTTCGTCTGTCAGAATTTTGAAATCTGCCAAAATGTTCTCCCATATTTGCTCATTCTCACCCTCAGTCCACCAAGAACGCCACTTATTGATCGCATCAACATCAGCCCGCATCCTTTCGGCTTTAGTGGTGCCATTCAGCACCACTACACCATCCAAACCAAGCACAAGACAGTACAAAGCAGCCTCCTTCTGTATCGCCAATTCCTGGGCGATCCTTAGTACTGGTGCACTCTGCAAGAGGGCCGGATTTCCTTTCAGAACCCAGTATGCTTGGTAGACCATATTCTTCTCCACGCAAAAGTTGCGGATATCTCGGTCGAAATGTGTGCGTGAGTAGAACCGGTTTTGTACCACGGCCGGCTTGATATGGACGAGTTCGTAGATGATCTCGAGATTGTTCAGGTTGATGTTGGAAATACCCAAGTGGCGGATTCGGTGGGGCACGAATTTTTCAAGTACGTTCCAAGCGGCTAGTGTGTCTGCAACTGTGTCAAGAGGAGAATGCAGTAGGACACAGTCAATGTATGTCTCGTTGTTATCTTCTCCACAGTCTCCGTAGTCTTCTCTCGTGCTCAGGTTCCGTAACGACGAAGTGACTGAAGCACGAACTTGGTCTGCGATCGAGTCGGAAGCCCTATATGGAGCCATATCTAGGTCTTGACCGTCAATCGGAGTATACTTCGTCTGGATCTAGCAAAGCAGCAAGAGCATCACAGTCAGCCATTTTCTCCTTGATCACTGTCTGTCACATGTTTTCTCAGTTCCTGAGGAGCATTCTCTTACAAACATATCCTCCCGTCTCAAAGCTTTCCGATGCAGGACCAGGCGTAATGATGATCCCACCAGTTGCTCCTGGTAGTGTCGAGGCTGAGCGGCGGTATCAACGCCAACAAAACCAGACTGGAAAGCCTCAATTACCAGATCCTCCGTTTGAGCCTTCTTCCATGCGGTGCCGTATAACAAAGCGGGTATTCGAGAGCCTTGAGATGGTGCTGGTACTATCGTTGATGCTGATGCTGGCAGGGGTAGAGAAAGATTGCTTGACAGAGACGATAGCATGGTCGAGTAGAGACAAGAGACCGCGACACAGATTCTACCAACACAATCAATCCGGAATACGTTCGGGGCGGTCCATTCGCGGCGGTCCATTCGGCAGAGGTCCATTCGGCGTTTGGGTCTTAGCATGACTATACAGTAGTAATTTGTATATAATATTCCTAGATTTTCTTAGAGAGATCTGATCTACTGCTAATTATAATTTAAGCTTACTTTACTTTCTAAATAAGTATTAAGATAAATATCTTTAATATTAGTTATATTATTACTTGTTTTTTGTCTCCAATGTGTTCATATCGGGCGCTGGAGGTGCCGCCAGTCGTGTAATTCCATTCTTAGTGATAGCTAAAGAGTGTCAGTGGAGCGAATCAGATATCATCAGAAGCAGTACGGACCGATCGTGGTGAAAAGTCGTGCCACAGGCTCACCATCAGCCTCAGCCGCTGGCTTGTATTCTCGAATAACATTGGCCCTAACACATTCCACCACCCCAACTTTTCCAGCTCTCTCATCATCGAGCTGCCTCAAGCTGAAAGGAAATGTACCAAACTTCTTGACGATTTCTGAGAGTGTTTGCCTGGAGCTGGGCCGTTTAAGGCCGTAAGTGGTGGCAGTCCGACGATGGAGGGTAGACCTTTTTTCTAGGTCTTTGACTTTGCCAGAGCCTAGGCTGACAAAAGCCGCAGGCGTGAGCTCCCACGACCGGATAAAGCGTGAGCTACGAGTCTCTGCAGAAGGTTGCAGTAGCATATCTATAAATGCTGCATTTGTGGCGGAAGCTATTTGGTGAGCGGTGAGGCCTTAGTTAAGCTATACATCGAATGTGTCACAGGCGCTTGCAAGCGGCTGTAACTCTATAGAAACAGGTTAGATCTGATAAGAACAGATTATAATCTGTGAAAATAATTTTATTAAGGGTTATATAACGATCTTAAATTTTTAAGTATATTTTACAGTCTTTAACTTAGGATAAGTAAATTTTTAGTCGGAAAAGAAGACAAACCTGATTCTCAGTCAAGATACGAACTACTACCGTCATCTACACTCAGCTACACTCACTCACGGCACTCGTAGACGCGGGGTGGGTGGAAGCGAAGGTATGGACTCTAATGAGGCTAGGGGGCGCGGGCTCCGCTCCCCTGACCTACAGGAACCCTCAACACTGAAGAATCTGCTTTCAGCCATCATTAACGAGATACAACTGGTTACAAGTGGAGGCGAAGAGATAGTAAGAGGAGGGATCAGCATAAGAGAGGTGGAAACCTCAACCTTGAAAAAATGGTGCGAAAAACTCTAAGCAGCCTATAACGCGCCACTAGACGCGCCAAAAACAATGCTATCGAGAATCCTCGCAAACACTGAGGATATTATAAAACAAGTCTGTACAAAACCGCAACCGGTCGCAACTAGCTAGAGCTAAGTCGCCGCATCCTCTCTACCTTTATTGCCCCTTGTTACATGTGTAAGTAATCAGTCGCAAATAATTAAAACTAAACATAAGGAACTAAAGATAACTATAAAGAATTAACAGAAAAAGGAGAATATTAAAAAGAGAAGTATATAAGACATAATAGTAGCTATTAAGTCTAGGGAATTAAAAAAGACTATAAAAGAGGTTATTATAATAAGACGTCTCTCTAGCAAAGATATCTTAGTATCTACTTTTATTAAATTATTAAGGATTGCCCTTAAGAAGAATAAAGACT